ACACACACACACACTCACTCACACACACACACTCACACACACACACTCACACATATATATATATATATATTTCTCTGCAGTAACAGAACATTTTTGTGCAGTCAGTAAATTCATTAATGTGTCTAAAGTCGATACTTTGTTCTTTTGCAGATCCTGCACTGCCAAATCCCTGAACTATCTCAATGTACGTGCTTTGAATAAAATGCATACTAAATCAGGCTCATCAGTAATCAAGACTGATTGATTAATGAGCCTTTGATTGATTCATTTTCTCTTCATCTTAGTCTGTATTTATTTAATGTATTCTTCTTTAATGAATCGTTTCCTTCTTCATTGTGCCACACAATAAACCCACCTTGCATTGCCTTGTATTCTGTACCATTACACTCAAATATAACGGTTAAATATAAAGGTAAAGTTCAGTCCTGGACAAAATATTTCATGGTAATAATGATTTTTTGAATGTATTTTTAAAGTGTTTTAGACAATAAACATATTATAAACTTACATTAAAACATACGATAATTAGACAGCTTTGGTAACTGATTGTTCGGTTTGTAAATCTTCTGAAAATAGTGAAGAAATGCTGTCACAATTACCCAGAACCCAAAGAGACACCTTCACAATGCTTCTTTTGTCCAACCAACAGTCCAAATCTCTGAACTAGAACAAATATATTCAAATTATTTCAAAGAAAAGCAGCAAATCTTCACATTTGAGGAGCTGGAACCATGAAATGTTTATTAAAAAGCACTTCAATGATTTATCAAAAGTCAATTAACTTATTGATTAATCAAGTAATTGTTTCAGCTGTGCTTTTATAAACTGTTCAGCAGTTTCATTTATAAAAACATTTTTATAAACTCTTCATATTCGTGTAAAAAAGGTAGTTATTAAAGCTGTCAGATAAAGGCAGTAAAGTAAGAAGTACAAATGTTCCCTCTGAGATGTAATGGAGTAGAAGTACAAATTTGTAGTTAGATTACGACACTAAATGTACTTAATTACATTCCACGACTGCACGAAGCGCCGTCCAGCCTCAATGTGATTTCTGATTCTAAAGTTATAATTAACTGTCCTATTATATAAAAATACAAATACAAATCTCAATTTTCACAGATGTTTTATTGGGGTCACATCAGCAGCACGACACAGGACCATAATCAGGACCTCACATCATTGATACTCACTACAAATCATCAAAAAACTAAATAATTTAAACAGAAAAACAATAATTTCACATTTCAGTGCACACCAGAGGAGGAATAAATAGTGTTCATGTTAATGACAGAAAAAACAACATTGTTCAAAAAGGAAAAGTTACTTAAGCTCATGTTTGATAAGACCTTTTAACTGTATATCTGTGGTCCTTTCATTGTTCATCAGAACGTCCCTTTGAGTCGGCAGTAATGTGGTGGATATGATTTATGTTTCATCCATACAGAGTGCCATCCCTTTTGTCTACTCACAGACACAAACACAACCGTAAACACACACGTACACAAATTAGTTTCTCCAATAAATAGCATTTCATAGTTCATTTTTCATACATTATTTTTGTCCCTGTCTGTACAACTGTGTCCCTTCTGGTGGGGGACATTTAATGACGGCAGCCTGAAAACAGCCCCAGTCTGTGCCTCGAGTGAGAAAGGCTGTACGGAGGTTTAATGACGCATACGGTTGTTCTCAAGGCATTTCCAGAATCCTCAAAGACTAAATATATTCAGTCTGTTGCCAAATAAAAGATGGTTAATGTGTTCTCACCCTTTTTGTACAAGGAAAATATTCACACATTATTTTGTGTGATGGAATAAAATTGGTTAAAATGAAACCTGCACACTCTTTTTTTAAACTCTGTCAGTCTTAAATTTGTCTCTTTAGCTGCTAAATGTTCACCAGCTAGTCTCTACCTGTGTGTCTGCGGTCAGTTAGGTTAGTGCATGGTGACAATGACGCTATGAGAGCGATTACACTGAACACAAACCGTGAAGTTGTGGCCAGAGCTGAAACTCTCTGTAAAGCTGAAGTTCATACATTACTACTGTCTCTGTTTGAGTTACAAAGTTGCAGCAGACAAATATTTGAGGTTAGAAGAAGCTTCAGAACAGCTGTTTTATATTAAAATGTCCTAACTGGCTGCCATGGTCAGACGCTCACATGCAGTTAGGACATGGTGTCGGTGTTGTTAAACCACCTTCTGGGTAACGGAGGCTTTACACTGTGACTCCAACGAGACACAAACTGGGGCTACCTGAAAGGATGCACATTTTATAAACAGACACATATGCAGTAATGACTAAAACCCTTATTCTGACAACGTCACTTATTAGTGAATAATGCCCAACTACAGATGAACAGGGAGCGGAATGTAAAAGGTGGGAGTGGAAGCATTGCAGTTAGAGAAGCATTTGAGGGACAAAGAGGAGGAAAGATGGAAGGTGAAGTCAGGGGAGACTGCAGTTACTCCGTTTGGGGCACAGAGATCGCCGGGCCCTTGGGGTCATCGAACCGGTCCATAGTGCGGAGCTGCATGATCATGTGCAGGCCGTAGGTGAGCACGAGGACCATGAGAAGACTGGTCATCAGACCCATCCAGATCCCAGGAGAGAAGAAGCCTGCACAGTCACTGGCGTACGAGAATTCACCGTTGGTCACGCTAAAGCCCTGGACCTGGAAAACAGGACACGGTGTGAATCTGTGGACCGGCTCACTGTGTTTACGTTACACCTGTATAGGTGAGTCTTCAGAACGAGCACGTCTGCTTTTGGGTCAAACAAATGCTGTAAAAGTGCCTCGTGGCAGAACGCCTAGAGGCTGCATCGCATTCTGCACATCAAACAATAAAAAAACCAATGCAGTTCATCCTTTCATTTTATTTCCCAAAGGGCAAAGGACAGTAAAAGATCATTTGTATTAAACTCTGCTCATTCTGCTGGTCTCTTTCTTTGTTGTGTGAGGCACAATGCTGGACAGTGTGGGACGGGGCTCCCAAAATACCAATTCTTAGATTATTAATAAACAAACCAATCACTATCTTACCTGAAAGTCCTGAAACGAGACCTTCCACTGATTGGCTGGATCTTTCGATGAGCGTGGGATGAGCAGGGGCCAGCGGAAGCTGGTGACGGACTCGCAGCGGTACGAGTACTCAGCGGGGGCATAAATGTTTCTGCTGCCGTTAAACGTGGCTTTGGTCCCGTCGTACTCCAGCTCCACGGCGTCCAGCGTGAACCAGGGGCGATCAGAAACCTTGTAGTGACGCTGGCTCATCGCAAAGCTGAACACACACACACACACACACACATAAGTTGAACAGATTTCTGAAGGTCGCAGGGCTTTGTAGGACTGTATTTCAGTGTGTGGTTGTGTATGCTGTATGCACACTCACATCAGTTTGAAGCTGCGGTGGCCGAGGACATTCTCATAATTAAGAACCAACCTGCAAAGAACCAAAAATTCCACGAGAGAAAGAAAAAGAGGAAGATTGTTGGAAGGGATTTCATTTAAAGGACCAGTGAGTAGTAGTGAGCAGTAAATCTGAGACGACCTGCAGCGTCTGTAGATAAAAACGTCTCACTCTCAGGTACATCTGGATTCCTATATTTAGCTGGTTAGACACTAATGAACACAAACCTTTGAATATTAGATTCATGTTGTAGATGCCACTAAATCCTTTACACTGGACCTTTAAGAAGCTCCCTCACTGTTTAAGTATATCACAGGTATGAACTACCTCGCTTTGGATTTGTCGCAGTTTGAGCCGTGGAGCTTCGGGCTGACACCCTCCCCAAAGGTAGACGGGGTCAGGTCGTGTTCTTCCCAGCGACCACTCCGAAGGATGCTGACTGACAGGCCTTTGGCCCACAGGAGGATGCAGGTCTCTTCCCCCTCCTGAAGGGGGAGAAAATACCATTATTACATTCTTCTTATTATTAATAAATCCCGTGAAATAAACAATGTGTTAGTTGGTCTGTGGCTCTCGGCTCCAAACTCATCACTGCATAGAAAGACGTAACCGAGTCACTCCACCTTAAACTCCACCGGAGCGTAGACCCCAGCCTTCTCCTTGATCCTACGCTGCCTCTCCCTTTCTCTCTCCCTCTCCCTGTACCCGCCTCTGGCCTGCAGGAGAGAACGTCCTCCACCCAGCCCTGCTTCCATAGAGAGAGTCGCAGCCTCCTGCAGAGAGACAGGCAGAGGAGGACAGACAGCTGGATCAGAAACTGTGACTTAAACTCCAGAACAACATTAGATCAATACAGCAGTCAGCAGCTGTCAGTGGAGTCTGTGGTGGCACCCTTTGTTTTGATCTGAGATTGCTGGAGCTCTAGTGCGACCTCTAGTGGCAGTGAACTGCTATGTAACCTTTAATAAACACAGAGCACTGACACACAGACTCACCCTGGAGGGCCGCAGGGCTGTGTAAATGGCTGTGTATGGGACCGACTGGGTCTTCATGGTGCTCAGCACCTGACCGATCATCTCATCTGAAAAACAATATGTTCATCTCTCAGCATGGCATTACCCACAACATCAGACACGAGTACGATGTGAATAATATTCAGTTATCAGACGGGTCAGACTCACCGTTTCCACTGAGAATCTCTTTTGCAGACATCAGATCAGCCCTGCAGTCAGACGAGGCAACAATCAGATACAGTCGAGAAGTGAGGGAAACTATTAGCACAATTACAATCTAAGGGTTGAGTGAATAAAGCCCCGTTCAGAGTGCATTTATTTCTGTAGGGGAGGTGATTTTAATCCTGTCTGGATGGTTCTCCTGTAATTTAAACTCTCCTTCTATGTTTATTAAAGTGGATGTTTGAATTTTTTTCCACAGGAAGAGCTGCTTGTTATTTCTAGTTTTTAATCAAATCGGTGTGAAATTGGACTTTTCTGTCAAAAGGAAATATAATCTGATGAAAACATGCTAACAGCAACACATTCGCCTATTAGCGGAACAAAAGGATGACAGCTTAAATATTTTAATCTCTATTTGTTTACATTTGTGCATACTAACTCAATGAAGAGTATGCCTACAACTATCACTACACTCTGAATGATGTGTTTCGTGAGTGTGTGTTCAGATCTGACTGAGTTATGATTCTCCGACTGGGTCTCCGGTGGGCCTACCCGATGCCGTAGGGCAGCCTGAACACCAGCAGGGCGGGTGAGGAGGCGTTGAGTCTCAGCTGACTCAGCGTCTCAGGGTCCATGTACAGAGGGGAGGTCTCCAGTTGGTCCTGCAGCTGGCCAATCACTGCATTGGAGGCAGGCCAGGACACAGCAGGTAACACCAGAGGGGAGGACGAGGACATCAGAGCCCCCTGTGAGACACGAGAGACAGACACATAAACATAAATACTCACTACAGGTGAACCAAACACACTTATTATTGTTTAACGAAGCGTCAGTCTGGTTCGTTGGCTTCCTCTAATGTTTACTTAAGATAGGAACTTTAAACTTTGAGCATCAACATGATAAACAGACACAGAGACACTGATCTACAGTCAGTGATATGATCTTACCTCGAGGTTGGGGAAAACGCTGTCCTGCTTGTTTCCAAAAGCTCCTCCGTACATGGTGAAGTCCTCTATGCTCATCTGAGCGGAGACAAGGAAAGACAATATCAGTAATAAGTAATAATTCTCCTCAAAATGCCCCTCCACTGCCCCTCTGAACTCACTGATACTTCATAGACGACATCATGGATGGTTTTAGCCTCCCTCGTTGGGCATTATTGCTTCTTTCAATTACTTTTCAAGTTAAAAATGTATTTGCAGCTCCACAAATGTAGAGAGTTCTGAGTTCTGAGTTCTGAATCATTAGAAGGTGAATTTACAGTGTTTTGACTTCAGGTGAGAGTAAAGGTCTTTATAGGACATCTAGTAAGTTTCAAATTTGGGATTTTCACTATTTTTTTTGCTATTTTAGAGACAAAATTATTACTTGATAAGCAGATTAATCATAATAAAAATAATTGTTAGTTGCAGCTCTGATACTACTATTTGGCAGCTTTGGGCTGTTCACAAACGGACTGTTAGTGGGTTACGACCATTGATAGTATATATAACAACTACTAGCTACTAGGTTACGACTGGCAGCCTTATGAGAAAGAAAAGGGAGGTAAGATAGGCTGGTGACTTGTTGGAAGCCTGCGACACAAACCTTTGTACACATTTAAATCCTGTGTATTTATAATGTAACAAACAGAAAAGTGTGTGTGTGTGTGTGTGTGTGTACCTTGTCCTGTAGGAACAGCACTACATTTCTCGGGCCCACACTGAGAGCTTTCTCCAGGTAAGCGGCGAGCTGCTGCTGCTCAACGATGTGACCCGCTGTAGGAGGGGACTGAGTCGGTAGGGAGGTCCTGGTGGAGGAAGAAGTGTTCAGATCACACACTGGAGTAAAAGCAGCCATACAACAATGTCAAAGTTTTATTATTATTACTACTATTTACTGCATAACTGTGTTGGAGTGGAGCTATATTTTACTTTCTATTCTGTCGGGCAGTTTAATCTGTATCCTTGTTAGCCCCAAATGTAGTCGAGTAAAAGGTACAATATTACCCTCTATAAAAGTATAAAGCAGCAGAAAATGGAAATACTCCCACAAATGACAAGATAAGTACCTTGAAATGATACTCAGTGCAACACTACAGTAAATGTACTTTCCACCACTGAAAATATGTTTTATTAGCCTCTATTGTGCCTCTCGTGGATCACCATGAATCTAAAGATATACAAACACAGTAACTTGAATACTTTGAGTATTTTATGTCAGTTTACTGTGTTATATATAGATTTTGTTCTGAATAGGAAGCAACATTTAAGTTATTGACATACCTATTTTAAAGTTCTGTCTTTACTACGTTGCAGTTTGCACAATAAAAACTCTTTCATGCATCCGGATTTCTTCATATCTATTATTATTAAAATATTAATATATTGTATGAATATTTACTCAAAAACTCCTTCCATAAGCAACTGGATACAAAGAATATTCAGTGTAATTCATTATATAAATGATTTTTAACCCGCTTTCCAAATTCCACCTCTTTTATTTAATCCAAACAAGGATTGTAGTAGAAGTATGTGAACCCTTATAAAATATAACTTTATTATTACTTACAGTTTGATACAGAATAAGATGTTAATATAATGTATGGTTGTGTATTATCTTCAGTTAAACTGGATGTTTAGCTATAAGATAAGACAGACTTTACTGATCCAACTCTGGGGAAGATACATTAATTCATGTATTGCTGAAGTAAAATGTGATAAAGATTCCAATAATAAAGTGCTGCAGGGACAAACTGGTCCACAATATCTTGTTCTCCAGATTTAAGAGAACAAAAATGAAATTTTATTATGATTTCTTCATCACTGTAAATGAGGGAAACCTCAATGATACTGGAGCCTTAAATTAGAAGATTTTCCCTTTGAAATATAGTGAAGCAGAAAATGGAAATACTCACAAATTAGCTGTAAAATGATACTTAAATACAGTAACATGAACAGGGACATGGATGCAGACTGTTTAAATGTACAGTTTAAATGAACCACAGCAATAAAACACTGCTCCTCTTCCAGACAACACACATACACACACATATACACAGATGTACACATATACAGACAGATAGATAGATAGAATCCCTGAAGGGAAATTGGGTCGTCATAGAATATAAATACAATAAAATACAATAGGATAAAATACTAAAATAAATAAAAAGATAAATAGGTAGGTAA